CTTATCTTTGGAGATCAGAGGAGAGGCAGGCTGCTTCTCAGCGGAGTTTGTTTCCCTTGACTCCAAAGGTCAAGGTGAGGTCCCTGTTGGGGAGGGGGGAAACTGCTGCTGTTTGGAAACCTAACATTTAGTTTTTCTATATTTCCTGTTTTCATTATCATTTTACAATTTTGTACTTTAATTCTTTGAAATGTCTGTGTTTTCATTGCTCTCACTGGAGGTTTCCATGACTGTCCTTTACTCTTCACCTGACTTCTACAGTGTGTCCACTGCCTCTCCAACCTCCAGTTCATAGGCTCACCTGTCATTTACACCTCACCCCTTCTTCCCACTTCCCCCATTCCTTCCTCATCCGAAGCAGGATAGAAAGACAGAGAGAAAAATCAAGGGGACCTGGGAGGGGAAGTAGTCCCTCATTCCAGAATCTGAAGCATCTTATCAGGCTGAGACTCAAGATTTCCCTCCGTGAAGGGTGCTGACCTAGACACAACCTTCCTTTTCTCTAGATCATTTCTAAATAAGAATGCTAAAGTAACCTGGAACTATGCTTAAGGCCTAAACCGACCTCCATTCCTTTCCAGGTGTTTTCTGGGACTCTCACAAACAAGGCTTTGTTTACAGTAAAAACATCTCAACTTCCCCTGCAACAGGGTTTACCTTATCAGCTGTAACGCTATCCAATTCACATCAGGAACCACCCCGATCTTATTAATGAAAAGGTTCCTTAGCAACCCTTTGGGGTGTAACTTCAGAAGCCTCTTCAACAGTGTGTATAGAGACCTGCCTCTTGAGAATCCACACCCATGTTTTTGAGTGTATACTTTCTTTAGTATCTCTATTAACCCCAGTGCTTGAATCTATATTAAACTTTCTTCCTAATATGGAGCTGTTTCAGGCCTGCTGTCCACTAGCACCTACAATCTCGCTACTTAAATATTGACACCCTTAGCTCTAAAAAATATAAGCAAATTGTCCTCAACCAGTCCCAATACCACTGTCTCTGAACCTCATCAAGGACATAAGTGGAGTTCCCAGAGTCTCCTGCAAGTCAGCTCTGGGGACCGACGACACACCACTGGGGAGAACTGCAGACACTGCTCCCCAAGTAGCAGCAGGAGGCAGAATTCCTAGAGAAGACAAGCTGCCAGGGGGACTCACAAGACAAAATCAGTGAAAAGAACAGAGGAAAGGGGAAAAGTTGAAACTGAAAGACACACATTCCAACGGACGGACGCACAGACACAAGAAACACAAAGTATGAGACAGCAACCAGCAGGACACATACACAACTTCACAACTCCCAATAATGGAGAGAGAGGAGAGTGAACACAAACATGGGTAGATGTACACCATCACAGCAAGTGTGTGGAGGTCAGGGGACAGCTTGTGGGAGCCAGTTTCCTTCCTCCACCATGTGGGTTCTGAGGGTTGAGATCAGTTCTTCAAGCTCGTGGCAAATATCTCTCATTGATGAGGCATCTTACTGGCCCCAGAGCCTGACTTTTAAAAAGGATCAGTAACCATAAGAAGGACTCAAAGAAGTAGACAAATGAAGTAGGGTAATCAACTCAACACCTACACAAAAAAGTTACCAAAATGAAGGAAATGCTTAGTAATTTGGAGGAGAAATTTAAAAATGTGGAAGAAAAATTTAGCAAGGAAATTGAGACACTGATAAAGTAACTGATAAGAATTCTGGAAATGAAAGAATCAGTTAAATAAATACAAGCTGGGTGTGGTGGTGCATGCCTTTAATCCCAGCACTCAGGACGCAGAGACAGGTTGATCTCTGTGAGACTGGAGGCCAGCCTAGTCTACATAGTGAGATCCAGTCCTACTGGGGTTACAGGGAGACTCTGACTATAAACAGAAATAAGTAAGTAAGTAAAATA